TGATCGATCGTCTTGATGACAGGTTAATCACTCCAGACAGATTGTCGCTATCGCCACCACGTGATGTCACACAATGAATGATCCTCCAAAAGTGGACCATCTTCAATTTCATTAACCTGGGGTGTTACATGGATCGATACACCAACCAGAGAAAGACAATGCACTAGATTCACTTGTTCCGATATAAATACATTTTCGTACAAAACGACTTGACTCCACAGCTCGGGGAAGTCGATTAACGCCAGCAGTAAGGATTCGTTGCTCTAGGCAGCCAGTCAGCCAAACAAGAAGCACCCCGGATGAGTGAAAACCGCAGGTTAATGCGCACATTTAGACACGACTTCCGAGACAACAATTGAGAATCCAACCACATTACTTCGTCTACATCCATGCGGCTATTTATCCGAAGGCCGCTGGAGCTGTACGGTATCGGAGGAGTCAATTAAATGTAAAACATGATCGTCGTCCGTTTGGTGAGCGACCTTTCTGCACAAAAAACTGCAAGTGTCTGTGGAAAGAATCATAACTTGAATGAACATACTCCGCCTTTAAATTAAACCATCAACTGCATGGCCTACAGGTAACACTCGATTATGTAAAAATTCAAAGCATATTGCGGAATAAAAACACCGGGTGGTAATGGAGATAACACTTATAATTTAGTCCCGGATTCTTTTTCTTGAATCCATTGATGAAACCGATCTACTCTCGCCTAAAATTAAATCGCAATACCGTTATCCTTAACAGGGATAAGTTCAAAACAAAAAGCGAGTAATATACGACGTATCTTGACCGCTGCAAGCCAAAAGAATCCGAAAGGAATTGGATAAAGAAAAATAGTTTGCAGACCGGTGACAATTGGCTATGCAAATCCACGAGGGATAAACCTAAACGGAAAATAAATAACTTTCAATCTACTATGTGCATCTAGGCCTTTGCGATTCGAAATCCATCTGGTTTATTACCAAATGGCCGTTCCGCGACCTCCTACAGGATGCTCTTCATAGCCATAACCCGGAGATAAGCTTGAGCTAATTGTTCGATGAAATCAAACGTGGTCTTTGATTAGCAATACCATTCCAAATTTGGTGTAAGAAAGTGGAAAACCCGAGGAGAGATAAATGAACTAAATAATAGGTGCTATGGTGACACGTTTTATGGATCAAATCACCTGTCTTAGTGTGAACCAACAAGAAGGGGCAGAGTAACCACCCGCAGACAACAACAACACAGATAAGTTTTGATTGGCGAGTGGTAAAATTAAACATAATCGGTGGTTTGAGGAGTTGCCTTTCTTTATCGCACACACACCGTGGCCGGTGGATAGCGATTGAAGGGAGCGAGCATTGTAGTAGCGAGAACCAAGTATCCGTTTTCTTCCAAGGTATTTAGCAACCTAAGTCTTGGTCTCTTTTGATAACATTTTTTCCTCTGAAAGAGACAGTGGGATGATGTGAACAAATTGTGGTCACTTTCCATAACTCCTAGTAGGCACCATACATGTGCAAAATGACAAACAGGAAAGTAGAGAAAGTGAAAAGACAATACGCAAACAATGCAAATAAACGACCTCGACTATTTCGCAATGCATGGGTAACCAACACGCTAATCCAATTTGGTGTTATAGTGACTTGATTTATTTTAGTATAAGAAAATCAAATGAATTTCAATTATGCCCCGCTAACTGATTTATCCTGATAAATTTCTCTGAGGATGAATGATGAAAAGGGGTCACGAAAAACCATTGTTTATTATTATCATCAGCTCCGGATTATTTGAAATCATGTTTATACTTCATGGGCACGACAGAATATCCCTTCACAAGCGAAACCCCGCTTCGGTAGAAAAACCCTTTACATGAGCACCAGAGGACGAGTCCGAGAGATAAATAAACCAGTCCGTTGTCTTAGTGCTCCAGTGCAGCAGCCACATTCCCAGTGAAATGGACCGCATGCACAGATGTTGCCATGCGAAACATGTTATGGTTCCCAGGCGATTGCATAACAGCGAAGAAAATAAACTCGTGCAATATTTTACAGCTCTTTTGCTTGTCGTTTTATGAAACAGCATTCAAACCACCCATCGTAATTTTAAACCCCATCTCTCATCGCCTTCGATTACCAATAACTCTCGTCCCTTTTGCAGAACCTTGTCGGAGGCTCGCTCGAGTGTATACAGCACCAGCTTTTTAAATGCAATTAACAGCAATTCGCTAGATATTTGGGCACTTAGTATCCACACGGATAGTAATGAGTACAAATCAGTTTCACAAGGACAATTATAGTTTGCTTGGTTTTCCCATACGGTAATAACTTGATGGGCTACCGAAAAATTCCAGAAAAATATGGTAGAATTAAGAGCATTCCGCGGAGTCGCACTGATGATGTTGCCTAACTTGGTTAATAAACGTCGGCAAACAACACCAACATGGCGGTTAGAGTCCTTGTGAGAATACACAAAGTGCACACTGCTCGCGAGGACGAATCGAGTGTTCAATGTTCTCTGGCGATTACCAAAAACCATGTGTTTCTGGTCTCAAAATCCGTGGAACTACGACAGTTTCCTTTTACAATATATTTTTGATGATAGATGACGACTGTTCAACAGCTTCACCTTACAAAAACAGTTTAACCAACAAGTCGATCAAGAGAATGAGAATTATGCATCAACAGGTAATCGTACGTTCGCCGTGCCGACTAGACTACACCACAAAAATTCCCAACAGCACATTAATTCCAGTAAAGACCCTTCAATGACAGAGACCTCGGAACGTTCAAGTAAAATACAGTGAAACAAACCCCAACCCTTGAGAAAGGTATTGCCAGATATGGGAAATATACTAACTCACACAAGGTCTCCATTGGATTTTTAGTTCGACACAGTGAACGAAAGAGAACACGTCATTTGTCGGGTCAACGTTATCAATACATTGGCATGCTAAGAAATCCCAGTGCAATTCGAAATGAATCCTGAGAAATGGCAAGTTTTGCCTCCAACTAGATACAACAAATGCCGGAACGCTGATAAAATGAGACGTACTAGCATAAGCGGACATTTTGGTTCTACAAAAACGAATACGGAGTAGTAATACGCAATTACCGGTACACCAACAGAAGCGCACATGGCGATTAAAGGACTATCGCAAATATCCACAACCATCGTTTTTAGAGTAGTTGTCGACGCTTCCTACCCAGATTTCTTCGAAAGGAGAGGAAAACCAGTCCAGGAACAAACTAACCCAAACGACTAGCTGTCAGCAATAACGGTAGTTTCATGGTACAATTCACTTCCCGAAATAAGAGAAAACTGTTAATCAAATGCAATACGACAGATGCTGATTGTGAGCTCGCGGACACACGTAAGCCAGTTAAATCAAAGGGAATTTATTTACCCATGGATCGTACCGATGGCCTGTCATTCGATAGAAGGGAAATCAATATATTCTTTACAGCGCTTTCTGTGAGCCGGGACCTGATGCCGAACGAAAGCAAGCAAATAAGTGAGTGGACAAAATGAGAAAGACCATGGGAAGAAACATAAGTCACAAATAAGAATTGTAGCCGTTTCGTGGGCAGTTAGGTTGGGCGAGAAAGCGTGAAACCAGAGATGGAGATGAATGGGACGGGTGGGACAGGGAGATTGGAACAGTGGAGCGAATGTGCAAGACCAGTGCCGCGGGCCGGACCTCTGGCGAGGATGAGGAAAATCACTTGCACAAGGCAACAAAAAGCCCAAGAGGACTATGAATGAGAAAGGGCCAACAAGTGTAGACGACCGATGGGCACGGATTCCAATGAGAACGGAACTGGATGTAAGGTACGGACAACGAAAGAAAATGACATCCTAAGCACGGGATTTGTTCGTTTCAGAGTTGCGTACAATTGCAACATCACTTTTGTACAAGTCAACGATGGACCAAAAAAGTTAAGTGACGTCTGTGGTGATGATGACTTTTTTGCCGATGACAAGTGTCTAGTCATGCTGCGAGACTAATTCATCAGGCTATGTTGGGTTTTCTTCTCGAACGACGCTAGTTGGGTGGAAGACATGAAGTGAGCAGGGAGAACATCGCCAATCAGGCTTGTGACGGAGATTCGAAGTGATCTGATCTGTGTTGAGTATCGGAAATGCTTATTACCCCATTACGGAGGTGCGAAAAACGTTGCACAGTCTCAGTCAGCCGAACAACCACGGTTCACAAGCAGAGGGGAAAGAGACGGCAAGAACTAGGATGTACATAAGCATGCTTGGTGGCGAACCGAAGTTGGGATGAGGGACAAGGCGAAAAGGTGCAGTGGATGAGAATGAAGACAGGGAATGAATGAATTGGAATTTGTACAAAGATTGATCGAGTGTAAGAAGCATAGATTTACATGGCAAATGACACGTGTTTGGCGGGCTATATCAAATATTAAACTGGTCATAAAGGACTGCTCTGATACGTCTGGAGTTTAGTTGAGCAGAGATGGGTAAACTAACCCGCCTAGCAGCAGTATAATGACAGGTTCTAACGACTGCAGCTCACTAAAATAATGTCGTGAGGGTGGCGAACTAGAGAAGCACAAGACGAAAGACTTCCGGCGTGGAGCAGCGGTTCGAGGACATGTATGGGGGTGGGGGGGAATGCGCAATTATCGACTGGGCACAAATAATACAAAATCGCCATTCCTCTGAAATTGGCGCAAGATAAGCGTCAAGGAAGACTGTAAATTGAGGCAGTAGAGGACATGGGCATGGCAACGAGATACCACATTCAGATGAGGTAGAAATGAATAGAAACAGTTGTCACAGTCGTTTGTGAAACCGGTGTAATTAAAAGGGTATTCACGGTTTGCGATCCCATATGCGAAAATGATTATCATGGCACAGCTGAACTGCTCAGGAGCAAATTAAACGTGCCAAAAGATCGATACGTGGTTAATCTGACTTTCACATTATGGCGGCTTTCAATGTGCATCAACTGGAGCTAAACAAGTGGAGCTAGAAATAAATCTGGTTCATTAAATCCCGTTGATCACATTTTCACTTTCCACTGCTTTCTGAGGAGGCGCTGGATAATAACGTCTTCGACGAGCGTTAAGGGCATTAGAACTGAAGGGAGGTGGATTAGCTGGCGGGCGCGGAACTAAAATGGAAGTGTTCGATGTACATTTTGCTGTTAATGTGCATGCCTCAAGTAACTGGGGATCGTTTGAGTCCTGATAAGGTTCACTGTAATGAACACCTTGAGCAGATTCAATGGAAATCAAATGATGATTTTGATGGCGTCGCTCAACTGATGTGGAGGAATCAGCATCTAGCTCAGAACAGGGATTTCCCACATGCTCAACGAAGTGCAACTGTTCCAGCAATAACCGTCTTTTCAGTGCATCTGTATCACTTGTGTAAGGATAGTTCTCGATTCCCTCGGTGGATACGGATTGGTTTTTCGCAGGATCACCATTGCCGTATTCATCTTCCACCAGCGCAGCGCCCTCTGTACACGCTGGAACAG